AGCCCTTGTTGACATCATAGTTCTGAGGACCCCATATTCTGAAAATGCCATTATCCCTGAATTTTTTCTAAGGAGAGGCTATTTTGTTGGTTTCCCAAATACCTCTCAGTTGAGACAGAGTTGGTGGTTAATTCCAACTTGTTTATTTTCCTTTATATTATGGAAATTCCAACATATGTGAAGATTATGTTATCTTAACCATCCCTTGCTGTCTTACTGCTTGTTTTTGCTATTCCTGAGGATTCACAGGTTTTCTTTTCTTTTTTTTTTAAGAGTCCTGGCTAATGTAGCACAAACATTTTTATATTACAATGACATATATTTATAATGAGATATAAGGGAAATCTAGATAATGCATATAATCAAATCTTAACTCAAAGGTTTTTTTTTTAATTCAGTGTATATTCCCCACTAGAGTAATAATGTCAAGTAAAGTTATCAATGTAAAGTTAAAATGAATGGGGATGAAGAGCTAATGCAAAAGAGCTTAGTCTTTATTTCCCAATAACTTATCATCAGGATGCTTTAAAATTTTCATTATCTTAACATGTGTGTCTTTTTCTGCCTTTTCTTTAACATACTCTGTATTTACAATGTCATAACTAGTGCTAGGAGATTAGAGAAGAGAATCTGGGGTTGAGTGGAAGAGTTATTTTCTGGAAAATGAAAATGATTCTAATATTCACACATATCACTGGTGTTTGAAAGCACCTCTCCATTTCTCATGAGTAAATATCTCTCCTCCAAGTTATATCTTCATTTCTTGAACATCTTTAGAAGTAGGTGGCCTGGATAGTCTAGATTTATCCTTAATAAACTTTCACTTGTTGTCTTGTTTTAAAAATCTATTCTTAAATATTGCTCCATTTCTTAGTAACTGCTGCATGTTCATCAGGACTCTATTCACAAAGCACAAGGGCAAAAAGTAGGTTCTTGTGGGAAGGACAGAAATATAGTTAGATTTCAGGAACAATTAAGCCTAGGAACTTCATCCTTTAAGCCTCTCTCTGTATTTCCTTTTTAATTAGCTTTTCCTTTCCTGCTACTCACCTTCTTTTCTGTATTGTATTGCTGGGGACATAGCATCAGTGGATTCAAACTTATATATCAATCACCTAGAAAGGATTAAGGGTTGGTTTTGCTGAACTGAAGTCCCCAAATCTTAGAGATATACTTCAATTGACCCAATGTGGCTAATTTTCTCAACCCCACATGCGTGACTTGCAATGTGCTCTACCCATCTCCATAGTTTAAAAGGAAAATTCCTCATAAGCATATTGATTTTTCTGGGCAGATAACATTGTACATGTTTAATATGTGCAATAAGTGGTGAGCTTTGTTTGCAGTATCTGGTGGGACTGAACTGTCCCAGCCTGCTCCCTACTCCCCACCCCCATCATCTCCTGGGCCCTAAGAGGCCACAATAAGGGCTATGTGTGTGGGAGGCACGTCTGTCTGCTAATCTCCACTGGGTCTTATGTTTTATGCTTTTAATCTATCAATTTATTTTATTTTTAGGAATTAGTAGTCAGTTATATTGGATGCAGACCAGGAGTTCATGGATCTTGAGGACCTCTATGAACATGGAAGTTATTATAACTTTGATATTTAGTAATTAAAAGTTAAAAGTATCCAGAATACCATGAGTAGGAGAGGATATAAAGCAACATGAACTCTAATTAATTGCTGATGAACAATTAATTAACTAACAAGTTTGGAAGTTAGTTTGATAGTTTCTTATAAAACAAACCATAGGTTTAGCTTGACTTTTGGCTAGTGTATCCTTGGCATTTAGACAGGGGAATTGGAAGCACTTAAGTTCATATAAAAACCATCAAAAAAGATATTTAAGCAACTTTATCAATAACTGTAAAATTTGAAATCAACCAAATGTCTCTTTGTAGGTAAATGGATAAACAAATGTGGTATAGCCATAGAATGGAATATTTGCTCAGTGATTAACAAAGGAAATGGGCTATTAAGCCTTCAAAATACATGAAAGAAACAAATATTCTTTTTTTTTTTAAATTTATTTATGTATGCACTGCACACAGAGCCAGAAGTGCAGGGGTGTTGAGAGGATTCATCAGAGACAGAGTAAGGAGGACAAAAGTCTGACTGATGAAGTACACTGCTGAGGGGAGCAGCGGGCAGGTCAGGAGAGGTCTGCCGCACCATGTGGATCACCTCCAGGGCAGAGATCAAACTTATGCTGAAGTGACTTTAGTTTCCTAGTGCTGTGCTTTAACCTGCTGCGCCACCAGGGAGGGCCCGGAAACAAATATTCTTAAGTGAAAAAAGCCACCTTGAAAAGACTACATATTGTTCATGTTCAGAAAAAGGTAAAATATGGAGACAGTAAAAAAAAAAAAATATCACTCTTTGTCAAGAGAGATGGTGGGAGGGATGAGTAAACAGAAAACAAGGTTTTTTAGGTATGTTGTCTGACAATATAATGGTGGATTCTTGTCAGTATATGCAATTTTTAAAACCCACAAAATATGCAATATTTATGAGCCTTAAGCTAATTCTGGAATCTAGGTGTACATGATTCAATAATCAACAATTGAAGAAGATTATGCATGCGTGGAGGATGGAAGTCTGGAATATATAGGAGATCTCTGTACCTTCATTTCAATTTTGCTAGGAACATAAAACTATTCTAAAAACTGAAGTTAATGGTGTTTTGATAAAAATATTTTTCTTTAGAAATTCAACAAGTATTATTAATACATTTGCTCACTTTGTATGATAGATTTTGAAGTTTAAATGTTATTGACCTCATTGGAGTAATCATCTTAGTGAACAGTTCTTCATTCCATTCACAATGAGGATACTGAACACATTATTTATGTAGTCCACATGGCTATCAATTTTATTCATATGTTAATTCCTAATGGGCAAAAAAAAATAAAAATAGGACATACCCACCCTAAAATATATGAACATAAGTTCAACTAAGATATGTGATTGATTTGAGGAAGTAAAACAGCAAAAGAGAACTCAGGTGGATTTCACTTATAAAAGTCTACATGGTGTCATCAGAAATTTGAAGACCTTATATGATCTGAAAAAAACCAGAATAGTCAATATCAAAATATTGATACCAAGCTTATTTATAATCACAGCTAGATATGAGGTATTCCACTTGGTACTTAGAGCACTGCAAAGATGGAATTGGTTCACTCAATAGTCATCTGAGTGTCTCCTGGTCAAAGATGTGTTTTGTGAAATTCAGGTGTGGGTAACTATTTGCTTTAGATAATTGCAAAATATTCTTCTAATATTAATAGTTGACAAATACATCTTACATTCTGAGATTACTTAACCTATTGTCTTCTTTGCTGTAGAGCTCTAAGTGTCTTGAGCCATTTGTCTGTCTACCTGGACTATGATTAGATGGAGGAGCAAGAGTGCCTCCTATATGTATGTGCCAGAAGATACAAGAATCCAAGAGATTCAAGTTGCAGTGTACCCATTCTCACCCCCTATCTGGATTTATGTGGAAAATGGAAATCCACATAATTCAGACTGTTAGATGTGATACTCCAAAGTAGAGCAACTGAAGGCAGATCCCTTTAAAGAGCACAAAGATCTCAAATAATCTGTTTCCCCTATTTTGGGGCTTGTAAGGGCAAAGCTGAAGCCTGTGAAATATGGGCAAATACTGCTGTACGCTGGGGTAGCAGGAATAACGGTATTAGAATTTTTGAGGGGAGTATTTTTGGATACATTTAATACTTCTTTTAAAGTGTATCTAGAGATTAAATAAAGGTGTTATTTTATGAAAGTCAAGAGGAAGTGTGACACCTGCATGTAAAGAGGAGCAGGTGAGGTCGCTGAAGAAGCAGGTGGAGATAAAATTGAGAAAGTCTAAGTGGTACTAACAATTTTGGACTTAATCCTCCAGATAAAAGAGATATTTGAGCAGGGAGTGTATCTGTTACGTTAACACAAGCTTTATAAGAAATTCACAAAGAATTGTATAATACCACAGACACAAGCATAGTTTATTTTTTGATCATGTAATAGGTTTTAAACATTCTTGTTTTGGGCCTTCCTTGGAGGTGCAACAGGTTAGGATGCAGCAGGGCATGCCAGCCACTGCTGCTTCAGTGAGATTTTGATTCCGGATCCCGGAGGTGATAGATATGGCGCGGCAGACCTCTCCTGACCCTCCCGCTGCTCCCCTCAGAAGTGTACTTC